TATATATATATATATTGAGGAAGAGATAAAATCAAGAAGAGTGTTATGGTGCCTTTTGATTTGATATCTTGGATATACTTCTCACACTAGGAAAGATTATGAATTTACTACCATGATTTCTCCTAGTAATCATTTACTGCCTCGCATAGTTGTTTATGGTACCCTTATTTGTTATGTTCTTAAATGGTCTATACTATTAGTCTACTGTACAAGTTATAACAGTAAGCATCTTTTAAACTAAAAATTTATGTCACTACTTTGACGAGGTTAGACAATATACTTATTAGGTACATGTGGTCGGTTGTACTCATATTACACTTCTGCACCTTGCGTGCAGATTTTGGAGCAGAGCTGCGAGTAATGTCAGGAGCTGACTCTGAAGATGTTCGTGCATTCCAGATATAGTTATCACTTTCCCTTGGTAGCTTTAGATTTTTCTAATCTATTTATGTAACTTCCAAATAGATCGTGTATTTATTTGTGCCAGTTTTGTAAATTTTAAATTATTAGAAGCTAATGATTCGTACTACCCGTCTTTGGTTACATATATAAATGTTCAGATAATTCTTCACTGATTTCCTATAAATCTTATTTGGATTGTATTGGCTGTTAGCTGACTTACCTAGCGGGTCGAATTAGGTGTCATCACGACTTGTAGATTTTAGATCGTGACACTTAGAAATATCAAAATGACGACGTTTCTTTGTGAATGAGGTATCTCGCGAATAATAATATATTGCTGAGTGAAAATCAGGGAGAGCTGAAAGGCTGTTTACATTAGCTAGCTTAGGAACAATAGATATTTTTTTTTATTACATCGGGAGAGGGAGAGTGGGGAAGAGGAAGCTACGCTATTGATGTGGAAGGCAGAAGGCTGGGAGCTCACCAAGTGAGCTAACTCTTCTACTCCATTACATATCACAGTATTGTTCCTATTAGAACGATTTATTACATATCATCATATTTATCAGCGGGAAGTTTTAATGAACATTCATATAGAACATCTATCTTAAACAGTAATTACCAGTATTTTTCTCTCCTTGATTCTTGGATATTTCAATGTGTAATCCTTTCTTGAAGATCAAACCGGGTTGTCGTGTAACATTCCCTTCATTTGTCACTTTCCACCTGAAATTTTAAAGAAAATTTTATCTTAAATTTTTTACGTCGTGACCAAAATTTTCATGGTAATTAATTATTTTTAAAAGTATGTTATTATAATATGTTTTCCTTGAAATAGGGCTTGAGATCGAATTCATACCTATAGTTTGTCAACAAGTAATGGAGGAAAATGGCCGTTTGCATCTTTGAGAGATCAGCTCCAGCACACAATCTCACTCCTCCACCAAACGCCATGAATTTTTTGGATCCCTTATGTAGCTCTTCACCCTTTTTAATCCCAATATAGTTGAGAAAAGGACGTTTATATTATGAATATATGAAAGTAGAAACCTAAATGCTTGACTGACCTTCCATCGCCAAGGATTAAAAGTAAGGGGATCCTCGTACTTGTTTGGATCCAGATGAACCGATGAGGGACATACTACGAATGTCCATCCGGCAGGAATTGTATATCCTGTGATTATTCTTACTTGAGTACTTCTATGAAAAAAACAAAAACTAAATAAATGGACTGTTATAAAAATAATTATATTGTGGATGTTCATTTATTATTCCGCTATAGATAATCTTCCTGAAGAAGATTATCTACAAGCAGCTGATGCAGACAGGTTGCAAGCTGCTCAATGAAATGATTTGCAACAGTTTCTTATTAAACAGGCAGGTTGCAAACAGATCATGCAGACAGCTTACAAGCAGCTAAAGAAAAGTCTTGCAGCTGTTTCCTGAAAAGCCTCGCAGCTGCTTCCTTTCTTCTATAAATAGAGGAGTTTTCNATTCTGGTAATATAAGTTTGATTGAAGGCTCCGGAAGAGCTATTGTATTTCTGTCTAAGGGAATAAAATTTATTATAGATAATGCATTATTCTCCTCCAAGTCCCGAAGAAACTTGTTGAGTTTTATAGATATCCGCCGAAATGGGTATCATGTTGAGACAATAGATGAAATGAACGTGGAATATCTTTGTATTACAAAGAATATTTCTGGCCAGAAATGCATTGTAGAAAAGTTACCAACTTTATCTTCTGGCTTATATTATTCAAAGATTAGTACAGTTGAAGCACACTCTATCGTAAACCAGAAGTTTACTGATTCAAATACTTTTGTGCTTTGGCATGGCCGTTTGGGCCATCCTGGATCAATAATGATGAGACGAATTACTGAAAATTCGAGTGGGCATCCATTAAAGAACCTGAAGATTCTTACAAATGATGAATTTTCTTGTGATGCTTGTTATCAAGGCAAAATGATCACTAGACCATCACCAATGAAGGTTGGCATTGAGTCCCCTACCTTTTTAGAACGTATACATGGGGATATATGTGGACCTATTCACCCACCAAGTGGGTTGTTTAGATATTTTATGGTCCTAATAGATGCATCTTCAAGATGGTCTCATGTTTGCCTACTATCATCTCGCAACCTGGCATTTGTAAAGTTATTAGCCCAAATAATTCGATTAAGGGCACAATTCCCAGATTATCCTATAAAGGGTATTCGCCTTGATAATGCTGGACAATTCTCATCTCAAGCTTTTGATAATTACTGTCTATCAGTTGGAATAAAAGTTGAACATCCCGCAGCTTATGTTCATACTCAAAATGATCTTGCAGAGTCATTTATTAAATGACTGGAATTGATAGCAAAATCACTACTTATGAAAACAAAATTGCCCACTACTGTTTGGGGCCATGTTATCTTGCATGCAGCATCACTTATCCGTCTCAGACCAACACATTATAATAAATATTCTCCGTCACAATTAGTTTTTGGTCATGAACCAAATATTGACCATCTACGAATTTTTGGATGTGCTGTATATGTGCCAGTAGCACCACCACAATGCAGTAATATGGGACCCTAAAGAAGGTTAGGAATATATATTGGGTTTGAATCACCCTCTATTATTCGCTATCTTGAACCATTGACGGGAGATTTATTTACTGCTCGATTTGCAGATTGTCGATTTGATGAAACAAATTTCCCACAATTAGGGGGAGAGAAAAAGGAAATCAAAAGAGAAATTGTGTGAAAAGTTTCATCATTATCTCATTTTGATCCACGTACCCCTATATGTAATCAGGAGATCCAGAAGATCATCCATTTACAAAATATAGCAAATCAAATGCTAGACGCGTTTACTGATTTGAAAAGGATAACTAAGTCACATATCCCTGCAGAGAATGTGCCTATACGAATTGATGTCCCAGCAGGACCATCTACTAGCATAAGAACTAGTGAACCTAAAGCATGTCTGGAGCGTGGTAGGCCTTTGGGTTCTAAGGATCGAAATCCTAGAAAAAAAAAACCGACAAATGATCAAAATGATATTATGAAGGGATCTCCTGAAGAGACCCAAGATCTGATTAGTTTTGAGATTCCTGAAGAAATCAATGAACCCGAGACTCAAGTGAGTGAGGAACTTTAATAAGTTCTACTGGTGATGGGATTAATTTAAATCGATCTGAAATGGTGGTGGATAATATTTTTACATATAATGTTGCACTTAACATTATGCAAGATAGTGAGGATTGTGAACCCCGATCTATTAAAGAATGTCAACAAAGATCTGATTGGCCAAAATGGCAAGGGGAAATTCAATCAGAATTGAACGCACTTGCTAAAAGAGAGGTCTTTGGACCAGTAGTCCAAACACCTGTTGGTGTAAAATCAGTTGGTCATAAATGGGTTTTTGTGCGAAAAAGGAATGACCTAAATGAAGTTGAAAGATACAAGGTTCGCCTTGTCGCACAAGGATTCTCACAACGACCTGGAGTCGTTTATGAAGAAACATATTCGCCAGTTATGGATGCCATAACATTTCGATATCTCATCAGTTTAGCCTTACGTGAAAGAATTGAAATACATATGATGGATATGGTTACAGCTTATCTGTACGGGTCACTTGATAATGCGATTTACATGAAAATCCCTGAAGGATTTAAAATGCCTGAAGCATATTCGAAATCTCGGGAAATGTATTCAATCAGATTGCAAAGATCTTTGTACGGTTTAAAGCAATCTGGGCACATGTGGTATAATCGCCTTAGTGAATATTTACTGAAAGAGGGTTACATAAATGATGTTATTTGTCCATGTATTTTTATAAAGAAAATGACATCAGAATTTGTTATACTTGATGTTTATGTTGATGACATAAATCTTGTTGGAACTCCAGAAGAGCTCCAAAAGGCAATTGAATATCTTAAGAAAGAATTTGAGATGAAAGATCTTGGAAAAACAAAACTTTGTCTTGGAAGGCAAATTGAACATTTAGCAAACGGGATCTTTATGCATCAATCTGCCTATACAGAAAGGGTCTTAAAATGCTTTTACATGGATAAAGCGCACCCATTGAGTACACTAATGGTTGTTCGATCACTTAAAGTGAATAAGGACCCGTTCCGATCTCCAGAAGAAGATGAGGAACTCCTTGGTCCTGAAACACCCTATCTCAGTGCAACTGGTGCACTTATGTATCTTGCTAATGCTACAAGGCCTGACATAGCATTTTCTGTTAATTTACTAGCAAGATATAGCTCTTCTCCTATTCGGAGACATTGGAATGGGATTAAGCATATTTTGCGTTATTTAAAGGGAACTCTTGATATGGATTTGTTTTATGCTAACAAAGGTAGTGCAGATCTTGTTGGTTATGCAGATGCATGTTATTTATCTGATCCTCATAAAGCTCGATCTCAAACCGGGTATGTATTTACATGTGGAGGTACTGTAATATCATGGCGCTCCACAAAGCAGTCAATTATTGCTACTTCTTCAAATCATGCTGAGATAATAGNCATACATGATTGGAATGCGGAGACTCAAATATTTGAAATAAGGTTTTCATCAGGGGGAGTAAAATACGCGATGTACTCTTTTTTCCTTACTAAGATTTTTTCCCACAGGGTTTTCCTTATAAGGTTTTTAATGAGGCATCTAGAAATGCGTATTACTAAATATGTGGACTCTTTTTCCTTCACTAGGATTTTTTCCACTGGGGTTTTCCTAGTAAGATTTTAACGAGGCACAATACCTTTTAATGGACATCCAAGTGGGAGTGTTATGAAAATAATTATATTGTGGATGTTCATTTATTACTCCGCTATAGATAATCTTCCTGAAGAAGATTATCCGTTTAGTACTCTGTTGAAGTTTATCTACAAGCAGCTGATACAGACAGGTTGCAAGCAGCTCAATGAAATGATTTGCAGCAGCTTCTTATTAAACAGGCAGGTTACAAGCAGCTCATGCAGACAACTTACAAGCAACTAAAGAAAAGCCTTGCAGCTGCTTCCTGAAAAGCCTCGCAGCTGCTTCCTTTCTTCTATAAATAGAGGAGTTTCAGTTCATTATGTATATAAGTTTGAAGTTTGAATAATATATCAGTTTCTCTCTATACTTGTCTTTACTTTACAGTTTTTATTTTATAACATGGTCAATATATATTGTAATAATAGCTAGCAGACAAGATAATATATTTTGATCTTGTCTCGCATCTTCTAGTACTTCTACTAATGTTTATTTAATATCTTGAAATTTTCAACTCATGTTAAACCAAATAAAGAATATCTTTATTACTCTAGGAGTATTTCTTAAGCTGCACTATTTGGCAAGCTAAGAGTCTCATATTGCGAGACCATAATTTATTTTTATTTTATTATTTTTTTACTTTTAATTTTTTTAACTATTAAAATTATTTATCTTACATTATTTATGTTTTATTCCTTATTTCTCATTTCCTAATATTTATTTCACGTGTTTTTGAAAAAATTCTCATATTTTATATTTTCTTAATTATTTTTCGTTATTTTTTCGTTACACTTAGCTATGTTATTATTCTATTTTTTCTATAAAATTATACCCCGTAATCATAGAAAGAAAAAGTCATCAACAAACTTGACTAATAATGAGTGATGTCATTAGAGTTGAACTTTGTTAGTGGATGAGGTTATATGCAAACATACCTATGTTAATGTAACGACTCGACCGGTCGTTTTGAGCATTTACGCTCTTTTCATCTATTTGAAGTCTTGAACAAGTTCCTACGAGGTATTATGACTTGTGTGAATTATCGGTTTTGGTTTTAAGGTATTTCGGAGTTAGCTTGGAAGAATGAATTTTCATGTTGGAAGCTTAAGTTGAAATTGTTGATCGGATATTGACTTATGTGTAAACGACCTCGGAATTTAATTCTGATGATTCCAATAACTCCGTATGGTGATTTTGGACTTAGGAGCGTGTCCGAAAAATTATTTGGAGGTCCGTAGTGGAATTAGGCTTGAAATGCCGAAAATTAATTTTTGGAAAGTTTGACCGGGGGGTTGACATTTTTTATATCGAGGTCGAAATCCGATTCTGGAAATTGGAATAGCTTTGTTATGTCATTTATGAATTGTGTGCAAAATTTTAAGTCATTCCAGATTGATTTGATGTATTTCGGCGCAAGATATAGAA